ATAGATAGATAGATAGATAGATAGATAGATAGATAGATAGATAGATAGATAGATAGATAGATAGATAGATAGATAGATAGATAGATAGATAGATAGATAGATAGATAGATAGATAGATAGATAGATAGATAGATAGATAGATAGATAGATAGATAGATAGATAGATAGATAGATAGATAGATAGATAGATAGAGAGAAACGTACATCGATCAAAACCTTTTCGACCTTAGGGCACTGTTTGAGGAATTCAGCAATATGATAAAGAGTACACATGTTTGGAGCTTTAAAACGAATACAAAATTCTTTTAAGTTCAAAAATTTGAAAGTCGGCCTTCTCATTTCTCCCTGTACGTATCTTTCCTTGAATGCCTAATATATACATGTGAGATGAAACATAAAAATTCATGTACGTAAAACAAGATTGCAAATGTTATAAGCAAAAGGAAGGAACTCTAAAACCAAACACATATAACATACGCATATAGGCTATAATATCTATATATGATATACATCCTCTATGTGATCAGTTGATCACTTGAAGAGTTTGTGAAAAATTGCAAAATGAAATATTAAACCAAATCACTAATCGTGTCTTTATCTATACAGTTATCATATATTACATTTTGTGGCAAAATGATATCTTATATAAGGTGTCCTCAGATATTGCAGTAAAACACGAAATACTTTTATAAATATAAGAAAAGTACATTTGAAAAAAGAAAATAGTACCTCGAGAAAGATATTTGTCGTTGAGAGGACATGAACTCCTGTGTAGGCATCCATGTTAGCAAGCACCCTGTGAGACGAATTGTAATAACGCCAACTGTAATCCTGGATATAATGGAGTTCTGCCTCTGTAAGTGCACCAACTTTTGAAAAGTCAAGAATCCTAACAAACCCTTCATACTTGAAGCATTCAAGAGTAGGTGCATCCATAATGATTTGCAAGCGATTCGGCATAGAATACAGGGCCAGCTTCTTGAACTTCTTATGATTCTGAGCTTTGATGCTCAATATCCCATGAGTTTTGGATCTGGTTAGTTCAAGAGTCTCGAGGTTAATGCAGTTGCTGAAGATTGCATCTATCATCTCTGGTGTTACCTTGGCCTTCATGAGCGCAAGTGTCCTCAAGAGTCTTAACCCCTTTAGGGTATTATTCGGTATTTCGAACTTACACCACCGTAGATTCAAGACAGTTAGTGTCTCGATGGCAGAGAAATCAACAGAGAGATCTATAACTTTCTTTGATTTAGAGAAGTCTAACGTTAGCTCTTGAATGTTTTTACTTTGACACGTTTTTACCCACGATAGTATCTTATCCTTTACGCCACGATGATCGAGCATTAGAACAAATCGGTTGATTTCTGATCCTTTGTGTTGATTGAAAATATCATCAATGATACTCACAACCTCTGATTGACTACGTCTCTTGGAGTATATCATGCTGAAATCAAGGTCTCGGGATTGAATCCATGCGACCCTAAAAGCTTTGGACACAACACCGAGTTGTAAAATGGGGAAAAACGTTGATATGATGTACTCCACCAAATGTTCAGGCAGCTCTACAATGACATCTTCTGGCAGCTCGATGGTGCGTTTGATCTTCTTATGTGGGAACTCTAACATTTTTTATCTTTTAATAAGATTTCTTCAGTAGTAATGATCTTTATATAGATGATTTCATGGTACAAGGAGGATCTGGATATGTTCTTATGTTTCTTCTTTTGTAAATGAATATAATAGAGTCTATGAATTACTTAGGCAATATTTAGTCACAGATTTGGATACACTAAATTGGAATCTCTTTTGTTTGCCTTTTTGTACAAAATATATAGTTCTTGCTATCTTTTGATGATTTAAGCTTTCTCTCCATAAATATGTATATTATATTGATTTCTATTAATTACCAATAATAATTATTAATTTGTATAGAAAATGTGTTTATGTTTGCTCACAGTATCTATACTATTAAAAGAATCATTTTAAGATCTACTTTAAAAAGATTGGTGTATCCATAACTATTTATTATTTTTGTCATATCATTAATTATTATAACTATATAGTATTTTGAATGAATCCATTATTACTACTCATTTTATGAGTTTCACTTTGTCTCTAAGAATATTATCAGTCAACGTTATGGTTGTTATGCAATAATATTATACATCATATTATGTTCAATAATAGACCTACAATGTTTAGATATAAATTATTGAAATGATTTAACGTATATCATATAACATATTATACCGTATCAACTTATAGTATATAATTATAAATATTTACAAAAAAAAAGTTTGATAATAACACTTTGCAAACCATCGGTTAAAGGTAAATATATGTATTTTAAATTATTTTTTATAAGAAGTATTTATAATTAAGTCTATTGAAACCCTATAAATATAAACTATTAAATTAGCTAAAACTTTTCCATGTAAATCTTAAGTTACGCCAACTCAACAAATGTATTCTTATAAAATACACACAAAATATAATGAGACAGAATAAGCATATGGGTATTCGAGTCTTCGAACTGGGTACATATATGCTCTTTTCGAGTCGGGGTCCTTTAGATCCTAAACATTTGGACCTAACTAGATATTTGAAAATTTATGGTTCGTGTTCAGGTCGATTTCAAATCTTAACGTTTCAACCTAACTAGGTATTTGAAAATTTCTTGTACATGTTCATGTCTATTCAGGTCCTAAACATTTCGTGTTCAAGAAACCTAACTAGGTATTTAAATAAAGATTTCAAAACCATAAGTCTTAACTAAATAGAAAATGAGGGTCACACGTTAACTTATTTAAGGTTCCTTGTAATCTTTATCTATAAACTGGTCGAAGACCTCACAACAAAGCTTGCTCCTTAAGTCCATCACATGTTCATTATTAATACTGGACATGTTCTTTCAATCCAAGTGAGTGGAATTCGAGAGTCTTGGCAATAAAGAGGCCAATGTTGAAAATAACATCTGTCTTTGGTATGCCTTCTCAGTTTGAAATGAAACAATGTCCTTTCCATCAATCCCTTGACCCATAGCTTCTATCATAAGTCCGGGAATCAACAATGTCAAATACAAAAATTATATCATTTATGTTACTACACTAACTAATAAAGAAAATTAATCAAATACAAAGAGTTATTACCTTAATTTAGGCAGTGCTAGTCTGGTAGGAAATGAATATCCATCCCTATTCATGTCATGTGTAAAAGAATATTTTTTTTCTCTTATTTAATACAGATATTCTGGAAGACTTTCCTAAATATTTACAAACTTTTCTTATAATCGTGATTTTTCCTAAATTTATAGGAGTTCAAAAACTATTATAAATTCTTCTTAAAATCGACACAATACTGTTTCATGAGCAATGTGAAATCCTGATGAGTAAAAGCAAAAAATATTTTTTGACTAAAAATTCAAATTTATGATGAACTCTATAAAATTAAAAATTCACAAGCAAAGTGATTTAATCACCAACTAAACAAAGTTACATATCAAAATAAAAATGAACAAAGCAAGTATAACAAGAAAGAAAATTAGAGATGAATCACATAGCATCCAGTACTACTCTCCCACGTCACAAGATTTGTAGAAAAACATTTACTATTTACACTGACACTAGTCACTAATTAACTTATTGATATATCATGTGTGAATGAATGAATACTTGTTAAGCCTTATGCATAATTGGATGCAGATGATTTTAAAAGAAGTAAACTTGAACCAGAATTTGTATACAACAAGCCAAATAACACATAGATGACCATGAAAAAGACACATAGCTCTTCTTGAGCTTTCTGATATGTACTAAGAGCAATTTGAATTTTTTATTATTTTATTATTTTATTTTTATTTTTCGTTTTATTTTAAAAAAAAATGAAAAAATAAACTAACCAATAGCGGGCCGCCACGTGGCATGGGGTCCGCTAAACAGTAATGATCCAGGGTCACCGCAGAGACTTCGTGCGACGCGGGTTTATCACTGTTGATTTAAATAATATTTTTTTGGGATGCATGTGAACTCCCCCTAAAATCCTTTGATGGATTTGCTCTAACAAAATCAAAGGCCACCAAATTTGTAGATGTTTCATGAAACAATCGAAACCACCAATTTTTTTAGATGCTTCATAATCGCTTTCCAAAAATCAATGTCACGAGATTGGTAGAAGAACAAGGAGTAAGCTTTTTCATGAATCAAAGAAGAGAAAACCTCAAATTTTCAACCAAAATCCCTAATTTTGATTTCAGTCTGAAACATTAAAATCGTACATCTATCAATTCCGATTTTGACTATCAAAAGTGCAATGGTGGAGGTTCACCGTGATACTGGCATCTTCGGTGGCGGTAACGTCGTGAGAATTCTCTCGTCGTCGATGAGTTTTTTTATTTTTTTCTTTTGTTTTTTAGCATTATTAGCAGTAGGGATATGATAGTTTTTTGATCTATTAGTGTTATTCTGATTTCTAACTTAAAATACTAGTTTTTAGACAAAAACTTAAATATCACTACTTAGAAATACTATTCTGATTTCTTCTTCTTCCATTAATGTTTTTTTAGTAATTTCATGAACATGGATAGTAGTGTTCTTTTATTAATAAATAGGTTAATTTATTTTTATGATTAAATGTATTTAGTACAATGTATTATTATAAATTCATAGATAAATATATATTTAGTTGATTTTTATTTTACAACATACGGCAATTCTATCACTCAAACTAAAAGTAATCTTGAAATCAAGACCAGAATATATTTAGGTGATTAGATAATTAATCTATTTTATATAATATAGTTGTGGATTTTAACATATTAAAAAGTAATTATATATAAGAATAAATGAAGTACATCCATAAATTTCATTTATATTATGTATATTTCATAATACCAATGTTTAAATATTATTGTACATTATTATTTATGTAAACAAAATATATTTTATGAAAAAACTGAATTATTGCCAAATGTTTTAACATATAGATTAATGATACCAAAACATATTCAAAATTGATTTTTACTAATATATTTTCCAATAACCATTATAAAACAAATTTAATCAATATATTATAAGAAAAATACGGTAAAGCCCAACTTCAATCACCAAATTAAATTATAGTTTTATATTACACAATATTGTTTTGTAAATATAATAATATGTGATTAATTATATGATGGTAGTATAAAATATGATTAACTAAATGATTAATTATATGATGGCACATATAAAATATGATTAATTATATGATGATATGTATGTAATATATAATAGTAACATGAAAACAAAATAGCATCATATTTTTTTAAAAAAATATATCCACATGGTAACGCGGATCAAGCTTTAATATAATGTTAAATAAACAACAATAAAATAGGTTGTTAACCAAAGAACGATCATCAAATACTAAAAAATAGAAAATAATATTTCACCAAAACAACCTTAAAAAGAAAGTATATCTTTCAATAAAATTGAAAATTTGGGAAAATAATAGAGTAAGAGTGATTTAGTGTAATACCCATAAATGGAGTTCAAATTAAAGATTTAACCTTTCAGTGACAGCTGAGGCTAAAGACACACACTTGTGTTCAATTTTGGACGAAAACATTCTTCTTACATTCTCTTTCTCCCTTTAATTCATTATGACAATCTCTTTCCACTGACATTCTCTTTCACTTATCTATCTTCTTAATCTCATCCTATCTTCTTTTTTCATGATAATGATTCTATTAATGGTGAAGATTAGTAATTCTCATATGAATTTAATTCACATTTAGAACGCATGTCTTACTATTTTCTTGTATAATATACTACCATATATTTATAGAAGTATATGGTACGTGTATTTGTTTACAGTTAACACCTATGTTAACATTTAATATTAGTTGTACGTGTTTTTGTTAACAGTTAACACCTATGTTAACATCTACAAAATGTTTGTTAACATGTAACACTTCTGTTAACACCTATGGTATATGTTTTTGCTAACCGTTAACACACCTGTTGACATCTAAATTATTTGTTAATAGCTAACACCACCGTTAACATCTTTGGCGATTTTAAAAATGACTCAATGTTGATTTTCTCAGTACGTGGTGTAATTAAAATAATTTAGATTCATAAAAATAGTAATAAAATAGTAATAAGTTTTCTTTGCAACAATAATTTTTTACACAGAAAAATATAGTGCATTAACATGATAAGAGAGTTTGAAGATGGGAAAGAAGTAGAATCTTAAGAAAGAGAAAGAGAGATTACCAATTCTATGGCTGTGAGAAATGTAAAGTGTCAGGAGAGAGAGTGTCACATACATGTGTAAGAAGGACAAAACCGTCATAAAATAATAAAATCAAATCATGAGTAAGTTTCAAATATATGTGTCCATTTGGGATGCATGAGCCAATTATCTCAAAATAATATATGAAACCATTAAATCTATGGTGAAGATGGAGTTAGATTGCCATAAACTATAAAGAAGAAATGAATGAGTCTAAGAGCATCATTAACGCGGTTGCTTAGCTGAGGTTTTTCGTGTAATTAGATTTAAAATAAATAAATAAATAGTTGTTATTAGAAGCAACGTTGTTTAATCAAGGGCAATAAGCAACTTTCTTATGAGCATGTGTCACA